GATCTGGATATGTTCTTTTTGACGATGAATGCAACACCATTCCTTTTCAATTTGTCATTCCCTGCATAGTAAACCATGTGGTTGTCAGATTCAAAATAGCCAATACCAGTCCATTTCAGCTCACTAATGCCTAAGATATCGAAGTTTATGCATTCCATTTCATTTTTGACAACTTCCAATTTTCCTAGATTCATACTTCATACATTCCGTGTTCCGATTTTCAATGGATGTTTACAGCTGTTTCTCTGGTGGCCCTTGACGGAAGGAGTAAATATTAATCTTTAATCCTTTACTCCTTCAAACACTTTATGTGTGAACTGTTTTAAGAAACAGATCTTCAATATTTGTGCTGGACTCACAGGTCAGTTTGAACCACAAGGTCGGCCGCTCAAACCCACCAGCCACTCTTCAGAAACCCTATACATGGTTGCTATGGGTTGGAACTGACGTGACGGCAGTTATCAGTCACAACGACAATTTCTCTGCAGATACACAGACATACACCAGTTCCCCCTCTTTCGAACGTAAGTAGTTACCATAGCAGTTACTGGGCCCTCCTGATAATGTGTCCATGGTACGTGAGAAGATGTCTTGCCATCCTGACTTCTAAGGTCTATTCAATATCCTTCACCAACACCATCATTCAAACGCATCAGTTCTTTGGTCTTCCTTATTCCTTTTGTGATCATTACTACTCTGTACTGTAGTACTATGTTTAAGATGTTCAGTGTATATGGAAGTCTTTAAGTACTTAAAATGCTCAGAAAAGTAAAATATATGCTATTTACCGAAACAAACATGTGACATTGTTATTGTTAAGCAGCATCAAATAGGTTCTAGTTCATAACGACCCTGTATAGGGCTTGTGAGGACCGAGGAGCAGTTAGTGAGTTTGACCAGCTGACCTTGTGGTTCAAACCGACCCTGCGGTCCAGTGCTTACCCTGCAGTGCCACACCAGGACTCTGAACATGTCACTGACTGAATGCACCTGCTCTGACCTAGCTACAAGTTCAACTTAAAGCCAGACTTAGAAGTGGGCCCCACCCATTACCCAGGGGTTGCATGTATACACAGGTGAAATATCCATGCATTGGGTAAAAAACAGTAAGAATTTTAACACAAATCACTGGGGAAACATGGTCACCCATCTAGAAAAAGGTGAATTTGATACTTTATACCTTATATTTATATATAAATCAACTCTACAAGGTAGCGTAGTGGTTACAAATTGGGCTGCTAATCTCAGGGTCAGTATTTCGAAACTACCAGCTGTTCTTTTGGAGAAAGATGAGGGTTTCTGCTCCAGTAAAGATGTATAGCCTTAGAAACCCTGTACAGGGTTGCTATGAGTCAGAATTGATGCCACAGCACATAACAACAACAACCCTATACATAAAAAAGGTTAATTTGATACTTTATACCCTATACATAAATCAACTCTATATGGTAGAGTTGTTGTTGTTGTTGTTGTTACATGCCGTGGAGTCGGTTCCGACTCATAGCGACCCTGTACAGGGTTTCCAAGGCCGTATATCTTTACGGGAGCAGAAAGCCTCATCTTTCTCCCGCAGAACAGCTGGTAGTTTCAAACTGCTGACCTTGCGGCCCACAGCCCGATTCGTAACTACTACGTTACCAGAGCTCCTTATATGGTAGAGTAGTGGTTACGAACGAATTGGGCTGCTAACCTCAGGGTCAGAAGTTCGAAACTACTAGCTGTTCCATGGGAAAAAGATGAGGTTTTCTGCTCCCATAAAGATTTATAGCCTTGGAAACCCTGTACTGGGTCATTATGAGTCGGAACCAACTCCCTGGCACATAACAACAACATGGATGAGAACTTTTATGTAAAAAAATGAAGCTTATATGAAACTCTTAGCAATAAAGATAGGTAAAGAATCTTTTAGACATTGGGTTAAGGAAAGATTTCTTAAGACAAACATAGTACTAATAGAAAAAGAGTATCAGCATTGGCCATCTAGAAACAAACAGTTTGTGTTCATTAAAAGCCACCTTTTAAAAACTGGAAACATGAGTTACAAGCTGGGAGAACCCATTCACAATCGGTACTCTGAGTCAAATACATGGCAGGAAAATGGACAGAGGATGGACAACTGACAAGAGGAAGAAATGTGCATGGACATAACCAACAAGTACGTGGGGGAAACGTTCAATACCAAGGACAGCAGCATGCAGTTTGAAACCATTAGCAAGATGCTTCCCTGGATCCAGTCCACTGTCGGAGCACTCCAAGGGCAGTGATTCTGTGGACCCATTAGAGCACCTGGGCATTCTTGGTCAGAGAAGAAATTGTCCCAAGAACTTTGGAAAAGTTATTAGCTCCTAAAATTGGACATTCCCTAGGTGTAGCCCCAGAGGAAACTCTGGCACATGGATGACAAGGGGTCTGCATCCAAGTGGTCAGAGCAGTCCTGGGCACAATAGGAAAATGTGGAACTGGTCGAAATGCACAACCAGGGGAAGTGGGTGACTCAGTCGTGACATTATTCACACCAAAGTAAGAGCTACAATGTGACCTGCGATGACACAAGTGAGTCTTAGCTGTTAGTGTTGTTGTTAAGTGCTGTTGAGTCGGTTCCAACTCTGAAATCTAAACCCTGTATAGAGTTTCCGAGAAGCAGCTGGTGGGTTTGAATCGCCAACTTTGCAGTTCAAACCCATCTTTTGGTCCCGTGCATTACCCTGCAGTGCCACACCAGAACAAAGGAAGACGCAGTGAAAACCCAAGTCCCCAATAATGCTTAAGACGATGCTCTTCTTTAAAAGTTAAAAAACCCAAATTGGCAACTAGCTTCATTGCACAAAGGGAGAGACACGATTCGCAACACAAACGAAATGAGGACAGAACCCTTCAGATGAATAAGAGGCAGGTGACTCGTGACAATGGGACAATGAGAGGAAATCCAGGTGGCCCACCAACGTCTGAAAATAGATCTACTTGGACAACAGTAATTGAACTTATTACATCATGTTTAGCAAAGTAAAGGCCCAAAGAAGAGCCCCAGAGAGATGGACTGACGTGGGGTTGGAGTGTCCCCATGGCAACGATTGTGAGGATGGTGGAGGACAGGCACCTAACAACAACAAAAATTACACAGAAACAAAGGAACCACCACTCTGTTCTACACACAGGTGTACCCCCACACCCTGTGCTCCTCATGGAGAAGACCCCTGTAGGAATCTACCTGCAGCTGTGCCAAGAGACACCTCTTCATAAAAACATTACTGGAAACTACCCAATGGAGTGGGTGGAAGCCCAGTGAAAGACCAACAAGCATTGTTGGGGACAGGCACCAGGGTGCCCAGGCTGGTGTCGGCTGTGCCTGCTTGTAAGGCCTAGGGTCAGCCGCCCCCCCAACACAACAATCCTTCCATGTGCACTACCAGCAAACATCAGCTGTGCACCCACTATTACAGACATGGCCCCAGTTGTTGGGACGTGCTGGTAAGACAGCTGCCAGAATCCCTGCCCCAAAGAGCTCACAGTCTAGGGACAGGTGACTGACTGACGGACGCAGGGCATGGACAGATGCTATGGATAAGAAGAAAAGTAGGCAGAGGTCTTTGGGTTGGGAGGGTGGCATCATGAGGGGAACAGTGCCCAGGAAGAGACAGCAGTGCAAATATCTGGTCTCTTGGAGCAGACAGGGTGGAGGGTGTCGGTTACAGGACATCTCTGAGCCCCTGTTGGATCCAAACACCACCTGGCCCATCCTGACCCTGGTCTCAGCTAAAGGTCAGCTACTTCATAAAGCTTCAGAAAATGGAAAATGGGCCACTCAGGCCAGTGGTCATTCTCTGGCTGTTTCTGGGGTAAGCTACTCAACCACCCTACCCCACTAGCTCCTAGGAGTCAGCAAGAGTTAGGAGGCCAGGCTGCTTGGACGGCTGGCTGCTGAGGCCCCTGTGGGGGGACCCAGGTCCTGTGGAGGGGGCCCTGAGAGCCCACGAGTGAGGAGTCGACCACTGAAGCCGCTGTGGGGGGACCCAGGCCCTGAGTCCAATGGTCATCCACGCCGTTAGGCTGGTGCCGGCCTAAAGACAGCTCCACTCAGACCAGAGCCCCGTTGGGAAGCTGCAGGCCGCCTCCAGAGCTCAGGATGCGAGGTGTCAGCCCCCCTGGGGGATGCGACCCCGCGGCTGTTACCTGGCACTCTGAGCGGCTGAAGGAAGGAGCCCTCGGCCGCCTTTAATGCTTGTGGCTCCGGAGACCGGGCGGGCGCGGCACTCGAGGCCTGGCCGTCGGCGCACTGCAGCTGGAAGGCGGGGGGTGCGATCCGCCCGCCGGCCTTGGGCCCGAGCCGCACCGCGCAGCTCCGCTCGGCCGGCCGCCCCGGCTCAGGAAAGGCGCAGAAAAGTACCTTGTCCTCCTTCACTCTCAAGTCCTCCGGCAGCGTGGTTCGGAGCGATCCTCGTACCGGCTCTGGAGTGGCCGAGGGGCACCTGCCTTTTAGTGGCCGAGTACCTGAGGGCGGCATGGTCAGGTGCAGGGTGGCCATGGGAGAGGTCTGCTTCTTGGCCTTCTTGAAGCTAACGCCTTCCACGCACAGGTCCGACCCGCTGAAGGGTGGCAACTCCACGGTCGGCTGGGGAGGGGGCAGCGGTCAAGGGGGCTTGGGGGGTTGGGGGCTGAGATGGGGATGGGGATGGGGAGAGGGCAGCAGTGGGCCGGGCTGGGGGAAGAGTCCCCCTAGGAACTTCTGACCCTGCCCAGCCAGGTGGGTACCAAGTGGACAAAGGACAGACACAGGGACCTTTCTCTGCAGCTCTGAGGGGCCAGTTAGAAAGCCGCAAACAGGCACCTGTCCTATCGCGCTACTGCCCTCTGGGGCCTCTGTCAGGAATGACTCTATCTGGGCCATCGCCAAGGACTCAGAGTCCAGTGGCATAGCCAGGCTAGGAGGGCAGGTGCTGGACAGTGGCCAACCTAAGAAGGTCCATGTGTTCACACATGGGCAGGAATGGACAGGTCAGAGGGCCTGGAGGCTGAGGCAGGCCCAGGGCTCCCACTAACTATGGGGTCAGGCAGCTGGGATGAGGGGAGAAGCACCGACATAGGCTCTTAGGACCATGAGGGGTGTCTGGGTGTCCCTTTGCTCCTTTCAGCTGAAGACATGCAGATGGGCCAGGCGGTCCTGGTCACACTCACCCAGCCCCACAGAAGGGGACAGACATGGTCCTTGTCTGCCACGGCCCAGTCTTCTGGCTACTTCTGCCCTGTCCCAGTGAGTGCCCAGGGGTCCAGACCAAGGGCAGGAGCCCACTCACCTGTCTCCAGAGCAGCTCGAAGTTGCCGATGTCACAGTTCCGGTCAAGTTTGCGGTCCAGCACCACCTTGATGGTGTCCTCTTGCACCTGGGCACAGAGCTGGGCGGTGACAGGTGTCGAGGGGTGCATGGTGGGACTGGAGTTGATCTCGATGAGCCAGGGCTTGAAGTCCTGGCTGAGGATGAAGTCCGCACCATAGAGCTCAAAGCTGTTCTTGCGGGCCTCCACGTGGTCCTGGGCCACCTTCATGGTGTTGGTGACGGCTTTCTTCATGGATGGATAGATGATGCTGCTCCACACGCTGCCACGGCCCCGGCGCTGCAAGTACTCCTGGAACTTGGCACTGGTCCACATGTTGTAGCAGGGGAGCAGTGGGTTGCGGTCTTTGGCGTTCTTCAGGTGCTTCTGGATGGAGTTGTTGCACAAGTGGATGGCACTGTGAGCAACAGGGGCATCAGGGACCTGCCCTGGGGAGACCTGACCCAGGAGGGGTTCCACTGAGGGAGGGATGGCTAGGGATGGCCCCGGTCAGGCTGGGGGACTCTATCAAGGAGGGACACAGAGCACGTAGGAATCCGTAAAACAAGCAGTTATTGAGTTGACCCCGACTCTTGGTGACCCCGTGTGCATCAGTACAGCTGTGCTCCACAGGATTTCTGGTGACTAATTTCACTGAGGTAAATGGGCGGGTCTTGCTTTCAAGGTGTCTCTGAGTGGACTTGAACTGCCACCTCCCTGTTAGCAGCTGAGCACGGTGACCATTTGTAGCACCTGGAGGTCCTAGGAAGCCACTAGGTTGGTGCAACCAGCCAGTCTTTGGCAACTAACAGCCTTTCCGAGCCTCAGTTTCCCTGTCTGGAGGGCTTCAGCTCCTGGATTCCTGGTACTGTCTTTGCATCTCTGGTCCTGACCGAACAGTCACCCCCTCACGTCTGGAAGCTGTGGTATTGGGTGGGGCTCCCCAGGGGACACCTCAGTTGCTTCCTTGGTACCACAGGGACCTTGTTGGAAGCTGGCCCTACCACCCAGCTCAGAGAGCCCCTACCTGCTTCGGCCCCACCTACAGGGAAGAGCTGGGCCTTGCCTAGCTACTGAGAGGCTCCACGGTACTCTCTGGCTCCATGGGGTGTCCTGAGCCCCATGGGCTCCAGGAGAACAGAGCAATCCTCTGTGTGTAAACCTGGGTCTGGAAGCCGGTCACTCACTCTTGGGCTGGGGCATAGAACCTCCCACCAGCATGACTCCCAGCCTTTGCTAGGCTGTGTAGCAGGCCCTCTAACCAGCATTCTCTGGTACGTGGCTGCAGAGCACAGGCTTTGGAAGCCCCGCCTACCTGTCCAGGTTGTCCAGGGAGAAGCGCTGCGTGGAGAAGCGAAGGTAGCTCTCCTTGTAGAACCAGATGGTCAACGGGTTCCAGTCGGTGACGAGGAACCACTGCCGGATGTCGAACTTGGTGTCATAGATGAGCAGCGGTGTCTCGATGTATTTCTGGGCCACCCACTTGTTGTCCTTAGTGGAAAGGTGGTCTGCATTCACCAGCTCCAGGATGTCTTCCACGCGGTCCATGCACACGATGTCTGCGAGAGGACACCATCAACCACGCACACAGCCCCACTTCACACCCAGTAGCTCCAGAGCAGATCTACTCAGTGAGCAGACTCGCTGTGGGCCAGGCTCTAAGTCATGGTGTCAGCAGGGCACCGGGGCTCCCACCAGGCAGGGATGGGAGACCCTTGGGTCTGGTGATGCTTTCATGAGTGGAAGGGGGTCGAGGAAGGGCAAGATTGGGAGAGTGCATCAATGTCGCCCACATTTGCTCTCCCCCATTTGTATGGGAGGATCAAAGTTCTCCTGCCCTACACTGACCCAGATTCAGACGGGCCACATGGTGAGGGGTGGCTAGTGACACATGGCAGGGGCATCTAATGCCAACAGCAGCTCCTCAGCCCTCTCTTCTGTGGTGACAATCTGCAGCCACAAAGGAAGGGTCAGAGATGGGCAGAGCTTCCCACCGTCCATCCTCTCATGCCAACCCACCATGGACAGCAAACATGGCATGGCTGATGGCCATTAGATTTGGGGGCTGCTTGGCACAGTCTGGCCTCTCTGGACTGACGTAGGGGTGGAGGAAAGCTCTGTCCACCAAGACCCAGAGGCACAAGACACAGGTGAGCTGTCCCTGCACACAGGTACACGCAGAAACTCGCCCTTGTGCTGTCCTCAGTTGCCCTAGATGTGATTCCGACTCACGGCAGCTGTGTATGTAACATGCCCAGTGTTGCCCCATTGCTATTGGCATCTTTGACTCTTTTGTATCAGTTCACCTCACTGAGGGTTTCCTTTATTTTTGCTGACTTCCTACCAACTACTCGTCTGTCACTTTGTCATACATACTGTGGTGGCTTGCACGTTGCTGTGATTCTGGAAGCTATGCCACTGGTATTTTCAATACCAGCAGGGCCACCTGTGTAGCACAGGCTTCAGCTGACCCTCCAGACTAAGACAGATGAGGAAGAAGGAGAGACGGACTATTTCTGAATATTTAGTCACTGAAAACCTTGTGAATAACAGTGGAACACTGTCAGATAGCACCAGAATGAAGAGCACCAGAACACGGTCAGACGCAGAGCCGGAAAATGAGCCCCTCATGTTGGAAGGCACTTAAAATACAACTGAGGAAGAGCTGCCTCCCTAAAGTAGAGTTGACCGTGATGACGTAAAGCCTTCAGGACCTTCATTTGCTGATGGGACACAACTCAGCTACAAGCATCCACTGATAATCAGAACATGGAATGTATGAAATATGAATATAGAAAACTTGGAAATTGTCAAAAATAAAATGGGACTTGAAAACATCAATATCCTAGGCATTAGAGAGCTGAAATGCACTGGCATTGGACATTTTGAATCTGACAATCACATGGTTTACCATGGTGGGAATGACAAATTGAAAAGGAATGGTGTTGCATTCATCACCAAAAAGAACATTTCAAGATATTGCCTGTGATAGGCTAATATCCATATACCCAGAAAAAAGATGAGTTAATATAACTATTATTCAAATTAACACACCAAATACTAAAGCCAGTAATGATAAACTGAAGAAGTCCCAGGTGCATTGAAAGAATTGGCAAAGACACCAGGAAGTGATGTAATAAAAACTGAAATCTTTCAAGGAAGCACTGGAGGCACTCGCTCATCTATGCCAAGAAATTTGGAAGACAACTTTCTCTCCAAATGATTAGAAGAGAACCACATTTGTGCCCATTCCAAAGAAATGCAACCCAACAGAATGAAGAAATTATTGGACAATATCTTTGATATCCCATGAAAACAAAGTTTTACAGAAACAGCTGCAAGCATACATGGACAAAGAACTTCCAGAGGTTCAAGCCGGATTCAGAAGAGGACATGGAAAGAGAGATATCATTGCTGATGTCTGATGGATTTTGGCTGAAAGCAGAGAATATCAGAAAGATGTTTACCTGTGCTGTATTGACTATGCAAATACTTTTGATTATGTGGATTATGACAAGTTATGGACAACATTGCGAAGTATGAGTATTCTGGAACATTTCATTGTGCTCCTGAGGAATCTGTACATGGACTAAGAGTCAGTTGTTCGAACAGAACATAGGAACACTGAATGGTTTAAAAATTAAGTAATGTTTGAGACAGGGTTGTGTTCTTTCACCATACATAGTCAACCTGTATGCTGAGCAAGTAATACAAGAAGCTGGTTCTATGAAGAAAAACGTGGCATCAGGATTGGAGGAAGACTCATTAACAACCTGCAATATGCAGATAATACAACCTTGCTTGCTGAAAGTGAAAAGGACTTAAAATACTTGCTGATGAAGATCAAAGAGCACAGCTTTCATTATGGATTACATCTCAACATAAAGAAAACAAAAATTCTCACCACTGCACCAATAAACGATATTCTTATCAAAGGAGAAAAGATTGAAGTTGTCAAGGACTTCATTCTTCTTGGATCAACCATCAACACTCATGGAAGCAGCAGTCAAGAAATCAAAGAATGTATTGCATTAGGCAAATCTGCTGCACAAGACCTTTTTAAAATGTCAAAAAGCAAAGATGTTAGCTTGAGGACTAAGGTGTGCCTGACCCAAGCTATGGTATTTTCAATAACCTCATGTGCATGTGAAAGCTGGACAGTGAATAAGGAAGACCGTAGAAGAATTGATGCCTTTGAATTATGGTGTTGGAGGAGAATA